CCCCAAAATGATGGCAGCCCTGGTAGTTTTTCAAGATTGTGGGACATTTTGGAAATATTAAAAGGCTATATTTAGATTAATACACATATTTTAGATTAATATGTAAAATCTGTAAGTTATCAGCATAAGACCCAGACTATAATAAAGTGTGACAAAGCAAAAATAAAGCAGTAATTTAGCAACATTGCTGAAAATTAATAAGAACTCAACCATGCACCCCTCAGAACAACCATCACCTGCAATAACCTTTACACTCAGAAAGTAGAATTACTAGAATAAGTAGAAAAAGTGGGAACATTTTTGGGGGGAAAAAATGGGAAAAGATTTTGTTACACATGAAATTTAATTGAAAGCTCAATTAAATATATATTTTAAAAAACAAAAATGTTACTTAACTGCACAAATTGTTATCATCCTACAAATATGCAAAATTGTCACACTACATTTTGACCATGTGAAATTTCTGCAACAGTCATGATATGACGTCACTTTCTTTAAAAATAAAAAATTTAATTCAACATATACGTATATGCATTCGCATAGCATAACTCCCCATTAACTGTTTTTGTCCAGTGAAAGGTCTTGTAGACCAATATATATATTTAATATATATATTTTTTGTGTTCCACAGAAGAAATTTTGTCATAAAATTTTGGAACAAGATGAATAAATGATGACAGAATTTTTATTTTTGGGTGCACTGTCTCTTTAAGATTGAAATGATCTCTCTCTATCTTCCTCCCAGATCATAACTTCATCTCACTTACTCTTTCCCTACTGAATTGTTTTCAGTTTCCTTTCCATTTTGGGTGGGTGCACATCATGTGAACATTAACATATTGTCTCTCTCCTGTAGAACACAGCTCTAGATAAGGAAACCATCCAGCTTTCTTGTCGGCGTCAGGACCGCAGCCCCCCTCCTCCAGGAAAGAGCCCTTCCTCCACCCACCCAGAGAGACGACACTCCCATAGGGGACGCTCATCTGTCCAATCGGAGGACTCTAGGAGTGCTGCTCCCATTGAGCCTTTAGCCTCAACAACCCCCAATGCACCATCAGAACCTCTGCCCTCCCCTCACTCTGCCCAACCTCCCCACTTCCCAGAATGCAGTGCTGAGGCTGAGGTCAGCAAGGGCCTGCAGAAGAAAGAATAATACTACTTAGGGAAACAATATGGAGACAATTTCAAATATAAATGCATAAATACATATATAGCAACTCTGCGAATCTTTGAAACTCCAAACTAGCTAAAAGGCTAGAATACACTACATGACTTTTGCCCCGATTTGTACAGTCTGGACGAGTACATTGTCCAAAGTAAGAGCCAGTCTGCAGATTTCACAAAACAAATTGTGTATGTTGAGCAGCACAGACTTCAATGTCTTTAGTTACAGATTATGATTCCACCAGTTAAGAGAATATCAAACGTTGATATTTGAGACGATTATAGAACACATATATTTGTGTGTCTCCTTGCAATGAGGTGAGTTTGTTCTGAGTGAGTTTCTTGTGTTTGGAAAGGCTTGAAAGCAGAGTTGCCAGGTCTGCGAAACAAAACTATACCAGTGATTAATCAAAAATGGGCCAAAACTAGCCCAATAACCCTATATCAAAACTTAAAATATGCCGAAAATACATTTTTTTACAGTTACTGTTCTGCGATATACACAATTTCAACTTGAAAGTCACCATGTATTAATCCCCCCCCCCAAAATGATGGCAGCCCTGGTAGTTTTTCAAGATTGTGGGACATTTTGGAAATATTAAAAGGCTATATTTAGATTAATACACATATTTTAGATTAATATGTAAAATCTGTAAGTTATCAGCATAAGACCCAGACTATAATAAAGTGTGACAAAGCAAAAATAAAGCAGTAATTTAGCAACATTGCTGAAAATTAATAAGAACTCAACCATGCACCCCTCAGAACAACCATCACCTGCAATAACCTTTACACTCAGAAAGTAGAATAAGTAGAATAAGTAGAAAAAGTGGGAACATTTTTGGGGGGAAAAAATGGGAAAAGATTTTGTTACACATGAAATTTAATTGAAAGCTCAATTAAATATATATTTTAAAAAACAAAAATGTTACTTAACTGCACAAATTGTTATCATCCTACAAATATGCAAAATTGTCACACTACATTTTGACCATGTGAAATTTCTGCAACAGTCATGATATGACGTCACTTTCTTTAAAAATAAAAAATTTAATTCAACATATACGTATATGCATTCGCATAGCATAACTCCCCATTAACTGTTTTTCTCCAGTGAAAGGTCTTGTAGACCAATATATATATTTAATATATATATTTTTTGTGTTCCACAGAAGAAATTTTGTCATAAAATTTTGGAACAAGATGAATAAATGATGACAGAATTTTTATTTTTGGGTGCACTGTCTCTTTAAGATTGAAATGATCTCTCTCTATCTTCCTCCCAGATCATAACTTCATCTCACTTACTCTTTCCCTACTGAATTGTTTTCAGTTTCCTTTCCATTTTGGGTGGGTGCACATCATGTGAACATTAACATATTGTCTCTCTCCTGTAGAACACAGCTCTAGATAAGGAAACCATCCAGCTTTCTTGTCGGCGTCAGGACCGCAGCCCCCCTCCTCCAGGAAAGAGCCCTTCCTCCACCCACCCAGAGAGACGACACTCCCATAGGGGACGCTCATCTGTCCAATCGGAGGACTCTAGGAGTGCTGCTCCCATTGAGCCTTTAGCCTCAACAACCCCCAATGCACCATCAGAACCTCTGCTCTCCCCTCACTCTGCCCAACCTCCCCACTTCCCAGAATGCAGTGCTGAGGCTGAGGTCAGCAAGGGCCTGCAGAAGAAAGAATAATACTACTTAGGGAAACAATATGGAGACAATTTCAAATATAAATGCATAAATACATATATAGCAACTCTGCGAATCTTTGAAACTCCAAACTAGCTAAAAGGCTAGAATACACTACATGACTTTTGCCCCGATTTGTACAGTCTGGACGAGTACATTGTCCAAAGTAAGAGCCAGTCTGCAGATTTCACAAAACAAATTGTGTATGTTGAGCAGCACAGACTTCAATGTCTTTAGTTACAGATTATGATTCCACCAGTTAAGAGAATATCAAACGTTGATATTTGAGACGATTATAGAACACATATATTTGTGTGTCTCCTTGCAATGAGGTGAGTTTGTTCTGAGTGAGTTTCTTGTGTTTGGAAAGGCTTGAAAGCAGAGTTGCCAGGTCTGCGAAACAAAACTATACCAGTGATTAATCAAAAATGGGCCAAAACTAGCCCAATAACCCTATATCAAAACTTAAAATATGCCGAAAATACATTTTTTTACAGTTACTGTTCTGCGATATACACAATTTCAACTTGAAAGTCACCATGTATTAATTATAAACCATATGTTTTCATGTAGGAGCTCAAATGTTCCCTATAGTTCCCCTTCCTCAGAAAACTTAACATCCAGCACAGTTTATAAAATATTTCAATATAAGCATTTCAGTTAAATGTAAGAAGATATTTTGAAGAATGTGGGTAGAGTCTCTGGTCACCACTGACTTACATATTATATTTTTTTCCGTACTATGGAAGTCAGTGGGGACCAGCAACTGTTTTGTTACCCACATTATTCACAATATCTTCTTTTATGTGCAACAGAAGAAGGAAACTTGAGGGTTAGTAAGTAATTAATGACAGAACTTTCATTTTTGGGTGAAGTATCCCTTTAACCTGCAGCAACAGCAGTTCCGCTGGAAAACAGTGGACTTGGTAACCCTATGTGATCCTCAGTCTTTTATTACATGATGTCTAGTTTTTCTCTGTAACTATTTACAAAGTCAACAAGTTTATGACACCTAGTGTTTTAAAACCGGTTCTGTTTTTAAAAGTAATTTAGAGTAAGGCTGGAGCCTTTAACATAGTACATTCAGAACTGTCTGTATAGTGGTCGTCCGCATGTCTCCATGCTTTCTTCTTCTTCCAGCTTGGCTTCCGATTCCAGCACCCAGAGTGGGTTTGAAAATGAAATGTGTGATTGATTGTATATAGGTGCTTTGGATATGAAAGATCCGCTCTGCTTTTGTATTTACTGACGTGAACAGCTCACGTCCCGGTAATGAATAGCTGAAAACTTTTAGGGTGGATGTAAGTAGGCCTATGCTACAGGAAAAAGACTTTGAAACTGGCAAAAAAAAAAAACGTCCTGCTGAAACTTGAAAGTACGTTTTCTTTGAGTGTATGTTTGAAAATAGACTGCTTGACTTTTTGACTCTACTGAAGAAACACAAGAAAGCAATTCGCATTTGTTGGGTGTGCTTTCTTAAGAGTTAAGAGGGTGTGCCTAGCACTACGGGTCATTTTGCAGTAGTTTAGAGTTGCCTACATTTGAGCCAGCAAAGCAAGAAATCTGTAGGGATTGTTAATAGTTTCGTTCTTTTGCTAATTTATTTGTACAGATTAGACAAAATGTGAAATTGTATTTTAGAATAGTTTGACATTTTAGATCCAGAGTCATGCATGATATTTTGATTTCTCTGTTGCAAAAGTATTAGATTGCAATCTAAAGTCTTGGATTTGTCATTATTGTTTTATGTACTCGGCTACTGCTGTACTTGTTATCTCTTTGCTCTCCATGGCACTGATTTCCTGAAACTGTCAGCCTGCAGGGAGATTGAGCTTAAAGGTATATGAGATGATGCACTGCTTTTTTTGACGTGCATTGGAGGTTTTGAGAAATATGGCAATATTCAGTATCATCTCTGGAAGGCTATTTCATAGATGTCATTTTCTGTTAGTGTTTTTTATCATCACGTAATCAAAGTAATGCAATAAAATTATCTTGCTGTTGTTATCCTTGTCTTGTCCTTATATGATTACAGCAAACCTTCTACTAAACCAAATAGTTCGAAGTTTTGATTTCTGTCTAGCGATAAAACTGCAGCAATGCAACAGTCGCCATCTGTTGGTTGAAGGACGACACTACATCAAATTAAGAGATTAAAAGGTTCAAACTGCCTCAATTTATTTATTTATTATCGTGTATGGTCTTTACTAGTTATGGTCTTACATTTGTATACCTTTTTTCAGTCAAAATATTTTACATTGACTAAGATTTAGGCCAGGAGTCTCCAAAGTCTGTCCTCGCCTCGGGCCTGGACGTTTCTGTGCCTAGCAAGACCTTAATTAGCTGGTTCAGGTGTGTTTAATTAGGAATGGAGCTAAACTCTACAGGACACCGGCCCTCCAGGACCGAGTTTAGAGACCCCTTAGGCCTTCACACATACCTGTTCTCTGTAAATGGGACTAAAGGCAAAAACAAAAATGACAACTAACAACACCTTTGAACAGCAGTTACTGCAAGAAATTGTATTGCATAATAGGGAGGAATTCATTTGTTGCAAGAGACATCTAAAGTGTGTCCATACTGACAGTTCCGGTAACATACCTACTTTTCAGTTTAGTGTGAGAGGTGGCCCACCCGTTTATTTTATTTTACTTTAGTGATGGCCCTGCAATAAATAGCAGCTTTAAGCTGTAAAGCATTCATTTATAGCAGAATAAGTTGTTATGTGTCCGGATATTATGAAAAGGCCAAACGTTATTAATATTAACCACAAACATTTTGACATTTTATTTTTTTAATGAATATTTAATTTAATAGCACTATATATTTTCTAACACTGTTATCGTAATAGACTTCATGAAGAGATAAAAAGAAAAGAAAAGGGACAAGATTTGGAGTCTTTAGACCCGCTGCACTGCAATGAAGATTTCATGAATTTTTCATGGTTTTGATGGGTGAAATTTGACTCACAGTCACAGGTGAGGGCAGATTCAGTTAAACAATCTGTAGCAGACACCACATTCATTTTAGAATATGGGAATACGGGATACTGATTAGAATGAGCTGTCAAATATTGTATAATAATGACCCATATATTGACCTCTAAACTGGATATTTCGCCTGCTGTTTTACGTCAACGCAAGTTAGAATAGCTAATCAGCGCCACCTAATGACTAAAATTATTACTGCGATTAAAAACATGGCCTCGGAGAGCAACGGTAATTTTAAATTATTAGCAAGAAACAACAACAACAACAAAACATTGACCAGAAAAACAACACACTTGTAAGAGACTTAAATAAGTGGGATGAGAGAGAACTTAAAATAGAGCAAGACACCAGAATAAACAGAATAACAAAGAGCTTCATTATCCATTTATGCTCGCATGCAGAAATTAAGAATGAGAATGTGGTTGTCTTTAACAATCTTCCAGCACCGACACAGACACAACATCTAACCAAGGAGTAATAATTAAACAATAAAACTCAAAAATAAAACTCATTTTCCCATAAGCCCCAAGCGCATCATACGCTATTGCGTCATGGCGTAAACGCCATTGGCCAATTCCTGTTGAGTCGGCCATATTGGAATTTGAAGTCTGCTATACTGTGAACAAGTCGGCAGAATCTTAGATTATATCTCTCAAATACAGTTACATTTTACTTGCATTCGCAGCGCCAGAGCCTGGCATTGCACCCGGGACCCCGCTGTTTGTAGACGGAGCGCTGTCTGTGTATTTCGTGGGGTAGAAATGAGTCCTACAGACGCTAAACGCGGAGCGAAGCGCAGGAAGAATAAGCGGGGCGGCGGCGCAGGGAAGGCCGGAGCTCCGCCAACACCCTGCAGCGGCACCGCACACGGAGACCCGAGCACCATCCCGAGCCTCAACAGAGAGGTGAGCGGCACCTGGGGCATGCGAGGCTGTTGATGGTGCATCAGAGCTTAAATGCAGTGTAGTTCAGTCCAGATTCCCTGATATTGGAGGCCTAGGAGAGCTCCTGTAGCTGATCACACCTTTACATAGAGTCTGAGCTGAGCTTTACTGATCTAGAGCTGTAATCTGATCACAGAAACATGGGAGGAAAACAGTAAAGACGTGTGTGAAGCCTATTTAAAGCGATTGTATGCGGTAGATATGGAAGTTTGAGTGATTTGTGCTGCTCGGAGTGATGCAAAGCTAACTTGTCAAGCGCTGTCCAGTGTTAGCTGGTGTGTTTACATATGTATGTCAATAAATATATTATTTTGTTAACCTTCTTACATAATAAGAGGAACAAATGCGGTATTTAGGCTGAAAATATCACTGTTTATCAACTGCGATCCACAATAATGTTATCACGTAGATAGACCTAATGCTAAAGCCACAGTGTGTTCAAATTATTCACACATTTCATAACTTTCAACAATGTCCGACTTATTCATATTTAAAAGTTTATTTGCTTTATTATTCAATCAAATTGACGTAATAATTGCCCTTCTGAACTCCAGCAGTGGTGTCAAGTAGGAACATACCGGAAGTGCTTGAAAATAGTCAACGTTAAATGTCAACAAACAAACCCTTTATTACATTTGTCAGTGGTTTTGAATTGAGTCTGGTGCAAAGTTTGTGCTTTGGACACAAGTGTAGTATGATGTAATGTCATTACATCAGCACAGTTGTTTCTTAACGCATACCATATTAATATACATACATTCTTCTTACCTCAACATATCAGCTGCCTTCCTCTGGTTCCAGTTGTGTATTCATGATGTCCAGCTGTAAGAAGTGTCAGGGAATGAATAGGCCACTCGCAGCACAGGGTCCAGTGTTCAGGGCTTTGTCAGAGACTTATTCTTTCTGGTGGTATGCCTCTGTTTCCAGGGAAACCACATCTGTAGCTTAACAAGAGTATTGGTCTGTGTTGACATAAGCAAGCAAAAGAGGCCATTGCATCACTGGACTGAATTACAGCTCTTTTGCTTGCACGGGTTTTGGTTAATGCGATTTCAGCGACCAGCGGGCAAAATGTTGTGAAGATGTCATTAGTGAGAAATCACAGACAGTTAGTAATGTTCATGTTTGGGTCTTTTAAGAATTGATTATTGCAATATTTAATCAAAAATAAGACTGAATATAGGCTAGAAGAAGATTTTGATGCAAACTGACAGCCAGAATCAACTTGTGACAGTTTTGTTAGGGTTAGCTTTAAGCAGGTGCTCAAGAAATCACATTCTACCTTTCCGTAAAAATTTTTTGGTAAAGCTAAAGTGTTTGTTTTTTGGTCATCAAACAGATTCCCCAAACACTTCCTTTGCCCCTGATTGGACAAACAGCCATTAGTTAATCCAATCTCTGTCAATGTGCTCAAGCAACCAATCAGTGTTTGACTAATCTAACAACAATTGGCTTAAATGTTCTTGTCTCTGCATATTAAGCTAAGATTAGAGCCTTTCGCACCGCTTTAGTTCCAGAACTAAATGTACAGTACTAAAGTACTGGGACGATTTTGTGCGAACTATTTCCCAGTACCATTTAAAGGGTTGCATTCACACAGACAGTGTGTACTTAATTGTGAGTGTTAGAGGAGCTGAACACGCAGCGCTAGCATGAGCATGTGATCTGAGTGCGCCATAGATTGGAGAGAATCGGAAACATCCACCATAGTTTTTGGGTGTTTTGAATGGAAGGTTTTTTTTTGGTACTCAAATTTCAGACTCATCACCTATGAAAGTTTACTTGACCTCCAGTACAGTAGGTGGTGATAATGCTCCTAAGGAGTTATTCACCATAAAACAAAAAGAAGACAGTGTGTACTAGGAAATGACATAAGCCGGTCGACAGCAGCGTCATTTGTGCGCGGCGTTCAACAACGGAAACAAAGAAGAACAACGTTAACAACAGGAGGATGGAGGACACTGTGATCAGAGCGGTGTTTTTGTTGTGTCTTGCGGGTTTCACAATAATGGACATGGAATGTCGATGTATACGTAAAGCGATTGAAAGAACGGAAAGGAGGACTAAGAATCTCCAACGACAACTGGCAGTGCTATATTTGCTACAAGTGCCTGCACTTCAGCGTCCGTCCATCTATCGCTGTTCTCCATACTTGCGAAATAAGTTGACAATTTTTACAGTATGTTTACACGGCGTTTTAAATCATGGCGGGTGAGGGCATTTTCGTACGCGTTTGGCTAATCAATGTCTACTTACGTCACGGGTAGTACCAGTTGTGAGTAGGAGCTAATTTGGTTCTCGAAAACGGCAGTCCGGTACTAAAATCACACCCAGTTCCAGTGGTGCGAAAACGCCAAAAAGTGGGTAGTTCCACAATGAATTCTGGTACTATGAAAAGGTTCCCGCGGTGCGAAAGGCCCTATAGAGAGAAGCATAGGGATGCTCCGATCCGCCTTTTTCACCTCCGATACCGATTCCGATACCTAGGGTGGGTCCAAAAGCCCCAGTATAGTGATGGGAACACTATACTGTCAAAAAGCACCGTCTTTCGGATGAGATGCTAAACCGAGGTCCTGACTCTCTGTGGTCATTAAAAATCCCATGGCACTTCTCGTAAAGTGTAGGGGTGTAGGGGTCCTGGCCAAATTGCTCCCCTGGCCTTTGTCAATCATGGCCCCCTAATAATGCCCAACCACTTGATTGGCTCTATGACTCTCTCTCGTCTCCACCTGTAGCTGGTGTGTGGTGAGCGCACTGGCGCCGCTGTCCTGTGGCTGCCATCGCATCATTCAGGTGGATGCTACACACTGGTGGTGGTTGAGGAGAGACTCTGCCCCACATGATTGTAAAGCGCTTTGGGTGTACAACAATACACAATAAAGCGCTATATAAAATGCATCATTCATTTATTTATAATCTATGACAAAAATGTATCATAAATTAGGTTAGTAGATAATTCGGCAGCAAAAGTTAATCTAGAAAAATCAGTGCACAATAATTTTAGAAATCCAAACATTTAGTGAAAAAACTATATTTTGCGGGGAACAAATAAAAGTGTTGCACTAAATATGGTAAAATGTTACACATTGCTATTTGTATTATTATAAAATCCATTCATTAAAAACATTCACTGGTGGTGGTTGAGGAGAGACCCCCCCACATGATTGTAAAGCGCTTTGGGTGTACAACAATACACAATAAAGCGCTATATAAAATGCATCATTCATTTATTTATAATCTATGACAAAAATGTATCATAAATTAGGTTAGTAGATAATTCGGCAGCAAAAGTTAATCTAGAAAAATCAGTGCACAATAATTTTAGAAATCCAAACATTTAGGGAAAAACAGTATTTTGTGGGGAACAAATAAAAGTTTTAAATATGGACTGACGAGTAAAATCTGAGAATTTATTAGCCATTGGCTAATATTAGACATCATTTAGTCGCCCAGAGTGAAGATTTAGTCGCGTATGCGAGTGATTTACTCGCAGTGTAGAGGGTTGACAGTCTATGAGCGCGCACATTGTAAGCGCTTCGTGTTTAAAAACTGCAAAGCACAAAGGGAAGAGAAATTGATGCGTAGTGTATTATATCAGTGCAACAGTTATTGAGCCTTTCTTTTAACCGTTTTAAATTTCAGTTACTGTGCACGTTAAAAACTATTTATATTATTTTCTACGCCCGCGTTTTGTTCTCACAGACACCTAGTAGTAAGTAACAAAACAACATTAAACTCCGGCAAGAAGATAAAGTCCTTTTTGCAAAATCATAGACATGTATTTACAAATCCAGTATAATGGGAACACAGAATGATCTTGGAGAGAGCTTTACCGAACTGACTGCTGTAACCGGACGCTACCAGGGTTTAAAGGCTGAACGATTGATTGACAGCCACAGCGGATAAAAGAGTTTGTGTGAACTTTAATGTAAGGACTTAAATATTCATATGTAGCTCACATTAAGCTATCGTATGGCTTCAGAAGTAACACAGAATATTTCACACAATCGGGATAAAAAAAAGAAAAAAAAAATCTCGGATTTGGATCGGCTCTCTCTGACCGATACCCGATCCGAGAAAAATGGCACTATCGGAGCCGATACCCGAAATGAATATCAGATCGGCGCATCCCTAATTTTAACATGGAAAAAATTCACACTGTATATATAAAGCAATACGTTTTTTTTTTTATTTGATAGGCCTAATTGCTGTCTTTATTCTCACCAGCATTAATAATAATAATAATAATTTGTTGCATTTATATAGCGCTTTTCTAGGCACTCAAAGCGCTTTACATTGTCAGGGGGTATCTCCTCATCCACCACCAGTGTGCAGCATCCACCTGGATGATGTGACGGCAGCCATAGTGTGCCAGAACGCGCACCACACACCAGCTTATTGATGGAGAGGAGACAGAGTGATGAAGCCAATTAACAGATATGGGGATTGTTAGGAGGCCATGATGGTCAGAGGCCAAATGGGCAAATTTGGCCAGGATGCCGAGGTCACACCTCTACTCTTTTCGAAAGACATCCTGGGATTTTTAATGACCACAGAGAGTCAGGACCTCGGTTTAACGTCTCATCCGAAGGACGGTGCTTGTTGACAGTATAGTGTCCCCGTCACTATACTGGGGCGTTAGGACCCACACAGACCACAGGGTGAGCACCCCCTGCTGGCCTCACTAACACCTCTTCCAGCAGCAACCTAGTTTTCCCAGGAGGTCTCCCATCCAGGTACTGACCAGGCTCAGCCCTGCTTAGCTTCAGTGGGCAACCAGTCTTGGGCTACAGGGTGATATGGCGGCTGATTTATTGATTTATTGAATAGCTGATTACCTGCTGTCACATTAATAACGAGCATCTGCAAATTCCAAACTATTTTTATTTATATTTTATTTATTTTTATTGTTTAGATTTATTATCAAAGATAAAGATAAAGAAATAGTTCACCCAAAAATGAAAATTCTGTCATTAATTACTCACCCTCATGTTGTTCCAGTCCCCTAAGACTTTCGTTCATCCTTAAAATACAATTGATGATATTATAAATTAAATCCAAGAGGTTTCTGTCCCTCCATTTACAGCCCAAGTAACTTTCACTTCGAAAGCCCAGAAAGGTAGTGAAAACATCATGGAAGTAGGGCTGGGTGATATGGCCAAAAAAATTATCACGGTAATTTTTTTCATATCAGTCGATATCGATAATTATCACGATAAATGTCAAATCTTTATTTCTTTCAAGTTTAAAGCCAGATTTTTGCTCCAAAGTGAAAGTTGTCTTAAAGTTTGTTAAGTTGTCTTAACAAAATAAATATCTAAATAGAAAAATTTATTTCTTAGTTTCTGCATGTTCTAATGAGGGATATTGTTTCAAATCAAGAAACAGGTTTGGGTTGCCTGATAATATTAATAATAATACAAGTTTTGGTTTCTTAAAAATGCACATTTGATAGTAGCTCGAGTTAGAATGCAGCAGAGGTACATTTTTGTTCATTATCAAAATCAGTAACATCTGTAAAAATTGTAGCAACCTCAGTTTCATATGGTTAAATTTATTCTGACCAAGTTTTTATTTATTTATTTAAACTAAGCATTGGTCTTCCATAGTAGCATACATCTAAATCATGATAAACAAACACAGTTAAAACCACACATATAGCACCTCAATACCATGGTAAAAATATAACTATATGGTTTTTAGGTAGCCTTGGTAGGTAGGTAGTATGAAAAACAGTAGTCTAAAAACATTCAGTATAAATGCACAAATGCTATAGCTTAATCACAAATACATACTACAATTATATACCATTACTCTTTTAAAAATATTCAGTGTGAATATCCCAAATTTCTGCCACAATACCACGGTGCAGTGAGTGAGTTACTACAGTAAATCCATAGTAAATGATGGCGATTTGTAGACTGAAAAGCCTTCTGACTGTCTCAATGCACACAGTGTTTCTCCTTTTTGACTTTAAACTAGTTAAAATCACGAGTCATTTGTGTTCATCGCTGAATTCAAGCGCTTCACACTGGATCTCACAGTGCTGCTTAATGCTCGTGTGACCGAGTAAACGCATCTGCTCTAGTGAGCTCACGCCGTGCGGCAGTTTAAACTTTACACATCCAGTGTTATTTTACATTTGATTACTTTAATTTCTGTAGTCTTCATTGTAAAAATTAAATAAAGATTAATGCTTACCATTAAAGTTATAAAACGTATTCAGTCAAGAGCAGAAAGTGATTTTCTTTGTCTTTTGTTCTTTGATTAACCTGACAGACAGCAGCATAAATATTGGACTGCGGTCACTTTAAGAGTTTATCCACGGACCCAATATACTGTTACACAACATGCGTTCTCTTTCTCAACTATTTAACGTTACAAAACTGACTGTGTTTAACTGGATACTCGCCAAAACAAGCATTTTGACATAATTTATGTATTTGAACGTTTTAGCGCAGTTAGCCACTCATTTTGGTATTTGTGGCTCACAAGCTGTTTGAGACTGAGCGCGGATTGTGCGCTCCACTAATATAGATCAGTGGTGGTGCGTGCGCTTTTGCTGTAAGCGCGAAACCTGCGGGAATTACTAAAATAATGCGCAATACAAGCACTATTTAACCGGAGCAAATGAGACGTGTGTGTGAGAGAGAAGAGGTCGTTAAAGAGAAGAGAGCGAGAATGCGTGGCTGACGTTATTGCCTGTGCTGCTGGTAACAAAGCGGATCGGCTCGAAATCGGAAAGAAGTAAGAATGTCCGATTCCGATCCCTGGCCGATCGATCAGTTTTTCTCTAGTTATGAGCGCAGCGCTGCTTTGTGTACAGCCGTTACCGGTGAAACCGCTATATTTCTGCCACTCCAAAAGCGCCTCCTGCTGGCAGAGAATGAGTTTGCATTTTCAATAAGCCCGTCTCCAGCAACGTGTTTTCGTTGTCGCTCACTCTTTTTTTTCTTTTTTCTGCAGCAACTCTGAGCACTTTTCATATTCTTTATCCTGGCTGAAGCACTTATGTTTCAATCTATAAGAATAATCAGCCTATGTTATATTTTAAAGTTAAAGATATTAATATTAATAAGGTGAGTGAGAGTCTTATGTTTATTTGAAGGTGATTTCACATTTCTTGTTTGTATGAAAGCTAAATACAAATAAAAGGTGAACATGAATTTATTTGTACCAATGTTATTTCTAACATAGGCCTATTATATAGCTAGTTTTATTGGAGGAGGTTTCATAGACTTGGCAAATTCATTTTTCAGAAGTTTGTAGGTACAGACATCCATTGTGGGCGTTCTTGGCAGTTTTTCCTGAGGCTTTTTTAATATTGTTCATATCGATATCGGAATTATATTGTATCGACCGAAATGAAGAAATATATTGTGATATAAATTTTGGCTAGGGATGCACAGAAATGAAAATTCTTGGCCGAAGCCGTACAAAATGAAACACTGGGCCGAAGGCCGAATACCAAAATATTTTTTACTGTACAAATAAAGGCAGCCTTGCTGAGCAGAAGATAATTATTTTAAAACATAATACATTACAGATCCCAATTTTAACACTGTGTGAATGTTATAATAAATGTATTAATAGAGTTGTTGTAGGGTAATTATTATCATTATTATTGTCTTATTTTTTTATTTTATATTTTATTTTACTGAACAACAGTAAAATTACAATACTAACGAATGTTGATGGAGTTGTTGCTTTTTCTCTGCTTTTATTTAGGCAGAAACCCGCAGGAAGATCTCTTTTTGTTGACAACAGCATGCAGATTTATAAATGATTCTCATTACGAATTTGGGAAGATGTTTGTTGTACGTATCACATTGTCACATGCCTTTAAAAAAATCATAAAAAATGTTACTGAGCAACTGACAAGCAACAGTTTTAGCGCAGATTTTCTTCGCACTTTGAACCCTGGCGGCGCGAGCTCGTGCAGCGCTGTCAGAATACATGCAATTCGTGCGTGCATTAGAAAATATACTGCAGTTTATTTACTAATCTTTTGAGGCCATTTCGCGATTTCAATCATCATACAGTAGCCTAACCACCAGCATCAGCCACCTCTTCTTCTCATCTGAGACATGTGATGCAGCACTAAACAGTTTCTCGGTGTCGGTGCTTCGTGCTTGTAATGATTTCTGCGCCTTTCTCTGATAGTTTTAAATACTTTCATACTGCCGACATGTTTGCTGCATTAGTTCGCATTACTCATTGTTCGGTACATATCATTCTGCCCTTTTCACTTATTCTGAACACAGAAAGAGATTTTTTTGCTATTTTTGGCCAAATAATTTCAGTTGCCGAACATTCGGTGCATCCCTAATTTTGGCCATATCGTCCAGTCCTAATTCAGGATCAGCCTTCAGTGAACTGATTTAACTCTGTTGCATGGCATTGCAAAAGGGTTTTTCCTTGTATTTTGGGAGCTTCGAGTAGTGCATTTAGGTGGCACTCTATTAGCTTTGAGCTGAAGTCGTAAACAACAGAGTGTATGTAATTGCATTATTGTAATAAGTTTATAACCTTGCGACTTTGGAGAGTTGATTTACGGCCGTCTTTCACTTCAGGTCCCAGTGAATGGCGCTCCTCAGTTTTCAGAAGGGCCAGTAAACGCTGACTTCTCAGGAGTCCTTCAGGTAACGGGCAAATCTCTCACTTTGCAACATTTCTACAGCACTCTGCCATATTTGCATTTCCTCTGTGTGGTAGTGCAGCTGTGATTTCCTGAAAGTCTGCTCCGGTTTAAGTTGGGTTACTGTTTTGAAGCATATTCTTGCACTATGTGTCTTCTAGAGTGTAGATCCATTGATCTCCTGTGGCGGATGGCCATTAGTGCAATTTGAGAATATTCTGTATGGGCACTTTACGTTTCTAGCAGAAGTGAAAGCTGCTTTCTCACAGTTTATCTGTTTCGTTGTCTTTCACTCAGACCCCGTTCACGTTCGGGGTGAACCAGAGGGCCCCCTACACCACTGGTGACCGTTGCCTGCTGTGTCGCAGTGTGCGCAAGGACACTGTCTCCCATGACATAGGAGGATCCAGTCAGAATGGCACAGCCCAGTCACCCAAATCTTCCAGCGCCCTTCAGTTGCCTCTGTATGTCTGCTCCGACTGCAAACGCACTGTGGAGAAGGATGATCGTCAGCCCTCCCTCGACCAGTCTCTGTTGGTACGTTTTTTTTTTTTTATTCAACACTTGTATGTTTTTCATCTGCCTCTAGTCTTAAAAAAAAAACAAAAAAACATAATTGGACAAAAAATGAGTCTGGATTCCTATAATTAACATGTTAGTTTTCAGCTGAATCAGTGGAGTGTTGAATATTTGAAGGAATTATTGGTCCTCTCAGTGTTTTTCCCTAAAGGTTTATCCCTAAAGCAACTAATTGTATGTCTCCGGTCATATCATCGGCCCCAAAAAAGCTTTTAAAAGTTTAAAATTTTTTAAAATAAAAGTTTTATTTTACATGGATGAGGTTGCTTAATGAGGGCTGCCATGTTGAGATCACATGACCAGCCAAATACTACTTTACTGATGCAAATACTGTTTTATTCCTAAGGTGACCATATATCCTCTTTTTCCAGGTCATGTCCAGGCCAGGATTTCTTAATTAAAAATTTTTTTTTTTCTTTTCTTCTTTTGATTCTGTTGTTTTCATACTTGCTTGAGGGTAATTATTGTAAATAGGGGTGCTCCAATTGATCAGCTACTGATCACTATCGGCCGATAATCGCTTTGGGATGATTGAATGGCGGTCTCTAAAAAGGCCGATCTCCAAAAACCGATCTCAAGCCGATGACGCTGCCGTGAGAGGTTTGGCACGACATGCAGGGCACTATCTCAGTCTCTGTCCGGCGCGGGTGAAATAATTATAATGCTGAAGGTGAGGTACTCACCTTCATATTTCTTCATTAAATAACTTATAAAGTAAATTGAAAACCTTGTGTGAGACGTAATTTCACAAACAGCGTGAGTGAATCACCACTCCCGCGCGCGCTCTCTCTTTCTCTCTCAAAATACGCAAAATGCTTCAAATCACCACATCGCGTCTGTCTATAAGTGAGCTGCACAATTGACAGGAATTGTCACTTGCACAATCGAGGCAGTGTCCCATCGTCACTAAAGTTTATAAATTGCATTACTTTTTAATTCTTGCCAGTGTTTAACCATTCAGCGCTCGCACGCTCTCCTGGAGACCGTGCGCTCATGCCCACTCGCAGCGCGCACACATAATGCCAAGTTCATACGTGGTGTGTATTTTTTCCGCGCTCATGTTAACGGATTAAAGAGTTCACTGCACACAGCTGCGGCCGGCAGTGCGTTCAGGAGCTGTGTGTCTGCAGCAGTGCAGAGATCGTTTCCGCACCGAGTCTATTGTTGCGCTGCAAGCGCTGAATTAAAGTGACAGCGCATTGTTTGCTGTAAATATGAACATGGATTGACACGAAAATGTAGTAATTACACCATAAATGCATATTATTAAAGTCTATACTGTGTTTCACAGTCAATACATATGGCTTTTTGGCTAGATTTAAAGGGAAAGAGCACTTTTAGAT